GGATTTTAAATCATCATTATTTTTCCTTTTATTCTCTTCACATTTTATTCGCCGATTAGACCAATTAATTTCTTTTGAGGAAGAAACCCAAATAGGATAGACAATCCTCATTATTTTTTCTCTTACCTGCTTCACATGTTATTCGCTAATTACTCTCAATTAATTTCTTTAAGGAAGAAAATTCAAATAGGATACGTTCCCGCTGAGGATCTTTGTAACTTCCACTGATTATCTTTGTAAGTAGTAAACTTTAAAATCTGTCATTGGTGGAGTTGTTTTTTACTCAGGATTTTAAATTTCAAGATTTTATAAATTCGATAGGTGTTTCGTGCCCTGGAAATTTTAGCTGGAACCCAAATTTTGATTTTTTTCACCATACGCCTTGATAGTCTAGATTTAGCAACTATGACTATAGTGGAAGAAACTCTTCTGATCTTGATTTATTTAGTTAGGTATTTTCAGCCTCTCGGGGACCGTTTCCGTTCCCCTCGGAAAGCGAAAATTTGGCAGGTTTTCTGCCACAAATGACCCCTTAAGAGGGACATCGGGCTCCGGGAGTCCAATATGGGTAAAGGAGACAAGGGTTAAAATGCTTTAACTTTCAGACGAGGCGAAAAAACGTTCCCGCTGAGGATCGATTTGATTCCACCTGAGGAACCATTTTTAGCTTCTCGGGGATAGTTTTCGTTCCCCTAGGGAAGCGATAATTTGGCAGGTTTTCTGCCACAAACGACCCCTTAAGAGGGACTCCATACTCATACTCTTTACTCATATTGGGCTCCGGGAGTCCAATATGGGTAAAGGAGAGAAGGGTTAAAATGCTTTTACAGAGGAAAGCATAAAGCAGAAATGGAATTCGCTGCGCACACACTTCCTTTCTGAACTCAAAAAAATTGAAGCCTCCAAAAGAAGTGGCACTGGCACTGATAGTTTGTATTATCCAACCATGACATATCTTGACGACTTGCTGTTCTTACAAGATCATGTTAAAAGTACGTCCGACCGTTTCAAATGCTCCAAAAGACAAGGAGCCAGATGATAATATAATTTCTTCTCATGTGGTATGTTTTCAGGTTTTCGGTGTTTTATAATGTGAACGAACAATGGCCGTCAGTCATTGGCCACTGTCATCATCGGCCGGCCATTGTTCAACTCGCGGTGAAAATGTTAACAGTGACCGGGCTTTTGGGCCGATGACATGATTGGCCGGCCAATCATGTCATTGGCCCTCGATTTCGGCCGATGCTATCATTGGCCGGTCAGTGACAGCATCGGCCGGCCCCCTAACGTTGACCGTAACAGATACATTTGATCCATATCTTAAACCATCACCGATTCAAAACATGTGATGCTCATGTCCTTCAAAAGGACCCAGGCTGGGGCCCTCTTGAAAAATGTGCTGAAAAAACATTTTCGTAAGAAATTCTGAAAGAAACCTAGTAAGCGAGATGGGTTTTTCTCTCTAATATTAGATGAATTCACAGATCATTCTCACCGAAAGCAATGCGGATTCTCTGTCATATATCATGATGAGGAAACGGTTACAGGACATTTCGTCGACGATTTTTTGTCTGCGCACCTGTTTTTTCTGGTAGATTACGTCCACGCGATACTGTGCAACACCTCAGTTGTGAAGTAGTTGCTTGAAGCGCCGCGCCATGCCGGGCGAGGGCGATCAGCGTGACACGCGCATTGGCGCCTACAAACCTAACAGGGATACTTCACGCATTGCGCATTGCGTGAAGTATCCCAGTTAGGTTTGTAGGAGCCATAGCGCGTGCCGCTCCGCTCTACGTATGGCTCGAATATTAAAACTCGCGGAGTCAACGTTTCTCAATTTATGATTTTGAAATGTTTGCACACTCTGCATGGATTAATCTCATTTAAATTGATGGGAAAGCAGCGTAGTTATGTGTCCAGAGCGTTGTGGACAAGGCCCATGAGTTAAAAATTCCCAATAGTCATGCTCTGTCCTGGTCGTCGCCGCTGACATTCTTGGCGCTTTATAATTCTTCATCCATTCTTTCGCCATTCATCCTTAAGGCCCTCGACCAACGAGCACACTCCATCCTCCCACTTGCACATAGTTCTGTTCGGTAGAAATCCGTCCATTTAGGTATTTTTCTAGAACCAAAATGCAACAATTTTGAAAACTGCTTATGACTGCCACACTTTTGCAGTAGTTTGAGTATTGAGTAATTTATTCATGCAGCATAATGATGTAAAATTTTCCTTATTTGTGGTTTTTTTTCTTTTTCTTTTTTTTAGGATTATTTGAGGCACGACTAACAAGGGAGGGTCTTACTAAGGACGATGACATGTGGAAAGTAAGAATATCTAATATGAACTATTACATTACGGAGAAAATAGGCACTTTAAATTATGTAAAGAAAGTCAATAAGAAGCAGACTCCTATTAAAACTCCTATTAAAACTCCGAGGAAAACTCCGAAGAAAACTCCGAAGAAAACTCCGAAGAAGACTCCTGTCAAGACGCCTCTCAAAAAGGCATCAACTCCAGTGACTCCTCACTTGTAACTACAATTATTTGTACTACAATTCACTTGTAATTTTCTAATCTAACTAATAATTTTCTAATAAAAGTACTAACTTTACTTTAACTGCTGCATGTGTTTCTTATTCCAGATGCAAGTTTACTGTTTTGTATGCAACCATCAAATTAGCGTTCTTTTCATACTTGGGTCAACCATGATTTGGTGTGTGAGTTACAGTTAATTCATCAACAGAGATCTTTTAAGTATCTTTATCATATTCCATTTCTCTCTAAAGCAAATGCATGATTTGACTGTTTTAAATTCCCGAAAAATGCCAATAATGTTTACCTCTACGGCCGTTCAAAGATTTCGTCACTTACTAAAGAAGGGAGGATAGTTTAAGGTCAGTTTAATACGCAGGAGGGATACCCGGCGCTGCCTACTATTACATAAAAATCGGTGCTTCACACCAGTTTTATGGGTTTGTCGGGAGCATAGATTTAGTACCGAAAATTCTGTGTAATGCTTACTCCAATTTTTTGTGATTTTGATGAAGAGCACCAAGCTCGCGCCCAATCAAAAAAGGGTATTTAGTGTGTAATTTTTGAACAGCTCTCATCAACTGATCTCATATCACTAGATGCCATGCTGCCGTAGTAAGAAGGACGCCGTGTGAACCTTCAGGCGTTGCCAAATTTCTTTTGATAAAAACACGAATTTCCTGATTAAAAGTTTTTCGATTTGCCCTGATGTAATTCGAATCACAGTACTTCTAAAAGATGCTGAACTGGAGCAACCATGGTTAATGGATGGTT